GTGGAAAATATAGACTCAATGAAACCTGGACACATTATTCCTCCCCTGATTTCACCCCTTGGCATTTAGTGATAAATATATATATATATATTTTTTTTTTATCTTTTACAAATAAAAGAATAATAAATTTTATAGTCCTAATTTCGTCTTTCTTTTATAAGATATGAACTTAAAACTTTCGAATCTATTTAAAAATTTGGCAATAAAATCCTTTATAATATATTTATAATCTCATAAAAATGTTTTCTTATTGAATAATTTATTAATTTTTTTTAGATATTAAAGTATTATATTCAGAACTTTAAAGTGAAATAGCTTCTAAGCTATTCTTTTCTCGGTTTTAGTGTATAAAGTAATATCTTTAATAACATTTTATAGCTGTATAATATTGAAATGTTATTATAATACTCAAATTATAATAATTCAAGATTATTAAAAACATTTTTATAATATTACAAGGCGTACATTTGTCAACAAAACCCATTTTTTAAAGAGTGTTTTATGGCAAATTCGTAAATTTACAGCTGACAATTGACGAAGGAATTTGAATAAACTTAAGAATTTTAAAATTCACTCAACTTTCTGCTCTATTTTTAATATAAAATCACAATTAATTAACGTCATTTTAACGATAATTAGACGTCTCGTTCGATAAATCAATCAAGATTTTTAAATATATTCCACTTCGTGCAGTAAACAACGTCTTAATGGGTTAAAAAATAATTAAAATTTTATTAAAATTCCAATTTAATATCTTTATTAATATATTTAAAAAGTTAAAATGTATTTTATAATTTTTTGCTTACATTCATTAGTGTATGGAAAGAAAAGACAAATCTAAAAAAAATATTTTTTTTGTGTCGAAATAAAGCTCAAATTTCCTTAATTTTCTTTTAAATTTTTATGTTATTTATGAAATTTCTCATTTTTTCCCTCATAAAACTATTTGTATAATTTGTATAAATGGATTTCCAAAACCGGGTAGGACCCCAAATTGGCCGTATGGATAAAACCGCTAAACACTTGGTCGTGGGTTCGTGCCTCATCACTGGCTGGCGACGTGGAGTTTACCGAAATTTCTTCATTGTTTAACACCTAAATAGGGATCATTTCCCCGTGGAAAGTCCAAATATCTTTGACAGATCGACCGTGTGTTATGCCTTTTAACTCATCATAACAAACCCAACCGGTAGATCGCGAACTAAAAAGTTTATAAACCCTTATGAATGGAAAACTGCCAATTAAAATTGGTTGAAGAATCAATGGTTTAGAAAGTATAATCGTATGTTAGATGCTTTTTATGACTTACAAAGAAATTTTTAATGCTTTTTTTAAGCAATTTTGTCTTAAGTTTTTTGAAGAAATTACAATAAAGAAATTCAAAGAATGCCTCGAAACGATCGCTGGATTGATAAATTACTTGATACGTAATGGAGTCTTGGTGACAAGTAATTCTTTTAACCAGATTCGGATATTTTCTTAAATGACCCTTTCGACAGTGACCATTAAAGTTCAAAGGTCATTTACCTCATTATTTCACTTTCTGTAAAAAAGTGAAATAATGAACAAATAAATAACACAATTTTGCGTAAATTGTGTTTTTTATTAAATTTAAATTAATTTTAATTACTTTTATTAAATGTTGAGATTTATAAAATATATTTTTTTTTAATTTAAAGTCATTATCACATATCCCCATAAAGAATAAGTTAAGTTTGGTAAGTTAGAGGTAGGGAGATTGATGGCATAAGACAACACAACACATCTTCAAAAGGGAAATGCCTCCCCAAGAGTACTTTTATGAGAAATTGGCCACCCTTAAGTTGTTAGACACGTAAAGAAAACCCAGAAAAGTCACGCGATAATAATGCCATTGACATAGCCTTTTTCAAAAGTTTCCGTTGTTTTGTACGCATTTTTGTTCAAAATTTTTTAAAAATTCCTAAAAATTGCCATTATTGGGA